TGTTAAAGGAATATTTAGTTGTCACACAATTAGTATACTAGTTTTCAACCTTTGGGTCTGCATTCCTTATTCTGGTTTGTTTCGTGACCTTTGTTTAAACGTTTCATTCGTCATTCTGATTGGCCAGCGCCCGTTACTGTAAATGGACGTTCGCTTTACGCTTGGAGTCCAATGATGCTATTTTTAAGGACATATGCGATTCGCTGTTGAGTACACTGTTGCTTATTCGCCGTTGCATTTGACGTTTTTCCTTCTGTTGGTTGGCTCAAGTGTACTTTAGTAGCTTCCCATCATTTTGCCCTCAAAACTATATAAACAACTGTGATTTCATGTATACAAGTCTCCTTCTGGCTCGTCTTTGGACTTCTTCTTGCGGTCGTGGGGTGAAGGCGTCAGCGGCAACACAACAGTTATCAACGCTTTTATCTCTGTCGACGCTCGGTAGATGACCCACGTATGTTTTGATTTCATCATATTCACCCTAACCATCCTACCGGACATGTCAAGCACTTGTTTTTATCCCGTGGTAAATCATTGTACATTTTGCAGTAGCATCGCCTAAAAGAAGCTCGCAAACATGTTTGTTAGTTGAAACACCATAATGGAAAAAGCAAGAACTTTCTGAACCACATGCTTCTTCGGCCACCGGAACATAGACGTATGGCAGAGTTACCGCATCCATATAGCCCACTCGCATACCATATAGTTACCATATACATGGGCAGAGTTCTGGGGTCACCATGGTAAAGGTTCATCCTAGCAATCCCGTTATCTGTTCTCTTTCCAGGCCTCCCACTTTCAGCTTTCATTGCATTACGACTGCTCTCTCATCGTATATCAACGGATCACCGATGCATTTGTGCACCAGTACACATGGTGCGCACTCTAACCAAATATGGGACTTGTTAGCACTCACTTTATTTCCCGTGCTAAGTCATTATTCATTGTAAGTGGCACAACCAGTGCATTAAGATTGTCACCATGTTGGCCGAATTAAAGTCTGAGTGTGTTTCTTGATACGTAGCCAATCGCAGTCTCAGTCATTGGGGCTTCGTGCATTGCGGTCATTGCACGTGCACTGGTTATCGCATGTTGCCCAAACTCTAGTGTTCTGGATTGGTTGTCTGCAACTCATTAAATACATAAGCGAAATATTTTTTGGTTTACTTGAAGGAAAGCTGATACAATGAGGGAAAAGGTATTGTCCGTGTTCAAATGGTGTGCACAAGATAGGGCTGTAGACACTGGCCATTGGGCAGTACTTCAAATCGGCCGCTGCCTTTGCACGGAATATCTTTTTTGCTCTATCTATTGGGGTTTTATCATTTTCAACTAGATATTTTATACATTTTCTTCTGTTAGCCTATTTTCAATGCCACACTCAATTATTTGGAGACACGAAACCATCAAAAAGCTTTTCGTAATTTCAGTAATCTTTTTCATGTGGACAATCTGGGTTTTGACACTGTACCGTCAACAGGAGACAGATTCGGGACCGTTCATTCGAGGTACGCCCTTGTTCCAATCGCCATTTTCCAACCTGTATAAATTTCCCATTTTTAGTGGTGCTGTTTTAGAACATCCTCATTGGCTACAGTATAATGTTGAAAATGCACCCACTCGGATACACCAAAGCTTAGATTGACGACTGATGTCACTGCGTGTCCTATGACGGAGGTGGTAAATGGTGTTCCAATGTCCGCTAGTCGCGCAATCTTCCTTGGCATAATCCACTGCTGGCGGTTGAACACATTTTTGGCATTCTTCTGTTTGACTCTCCGGCAAGTCTCAGTGCGCCGACACAAGCGACTTGCAAGCTGCCTCCTATCTGACATCTGGCAAATAACTTGTTTCTCCGCAGGTTGTTTGTGAGTAAAACGTGCCTCTGTAAGAAGAGCCCTGGGAAAACCGCGGAACAAATTTGTTCAGAGCGATGGTGTAGCGGAATTTTGTATTCGGTACAGAATTCTCCTGATCCGCGCTCGCTGCATTTCACGGCTCTCCAGACGTTTGAAACTGCAGTATGTTCCGTGTGTGTGTGTGTGTGTGTTTACGTACGCCTATTTATCCCGTCCTCAGCGTGTGTGTGTGTGGTTACTTCCAAAAATGTGTCCCTACCCCCCTGCTACGCGCCCGCGAAGTCTTCTTGACAATCTGATTTGAACCCCTCCCAAACGCTCACAAACGCCTGTCTGCATCGCGTTGACCCGTTGAAACATTGGACCAATCATGGCACAGATTGAATCTGTCTTACTCCATCCTCCAGTCAGGAGATGGAACGCCTACTTCACATCGATTGGCCGGCTCTAAGCCAGGTTGTTCAACCCCTGTGTCATTTGCATCTGGACAGCTGGGATGTTGTCGATCTTTGTTTGTACTGACTGGGGTTTATCAGGAGGCGACATTTATAGCACCGTTTAATGTTGGATACTAAATATGAAAGGCAAAAAGTTCCAGATAAAGGCTGAATATTTAATGTTACTTTGTATAATCAACAAGACTTTCGCGCCGTGTCAGTCTTGTGCAAACGTTCTTCCCAGTGATCTCCTCACATATCCCATTGTGGTCACTTCCACCACGTTTATCTCATTGTCCTGAAAAACCACCCATTGCATCGATAACTAATGTGTACTTTGCCCTGAGCTGAGGTTGAGGGTTTATGGATCTACCACTGCCAGGGGAGGCGAAACTTTTACCACCGCAAAAGTAGTTGCTACTCCACTGTACCTAATCAATGTTTCATAAGCAGACTTTGGGACCAACCTGTAGTCTAAACTTGCAACTCAAAGACAGCATGTTGGCTATTACAGATGGATTGCTTGTAACTAGCTAACAGCATAAGACTGGCTCGTTTGCGCTGGCATATTTTGATATGCATCGCATACATTCGTTCGTATCCAGCGACGACGTTATGCCCCGTTTTCTTGGGAAGGTTGATCTTGCTGCTAATTTATGCGGGCTGTCACTTTTTGCTACTTTTCCGTCATAAGTAAATCATCTTACCTCAAGTCACACCGAGTAGCTGCTTCTTATGTTACTACAGGTTTCCAGACAGCTTTGAAACTATCACCCGCGCTATCATTGATCATCACTCCACACTTATGCATAAGTGTGGTCTTCTCCCCCATACGCTTCCATTCCTAAGAACGCGACCAATACCGAAAATCACATCCATTACTCCGTTTCCCCATATTACACGGGCCTAAGCTTTTAACCTAAGAAGCATGAGTTTACTGTCGCATGTCACTTTACGTCACGGACAAGGCCCTGCTGAGCACTACAGAATCACGAAGTGGAGCGGTCGCCTTAATGCCCCTAGGAAACTTAATGGGATAATACAGGAAGTTTCTGTTCTATACTTCCTTGCAACTCACGTTAGTTCGCCACCGTCCCCCGTTGCTTAGTGGTATGAGCTACTTCCTAGTAGTGCCAGCCGCTATTGGTCATACTTTCTACTCCTGGGGAGCCAGGGGATTTGTGCCGCTGACGAGTCCCCGTAGAAAAACGTGGTCACTTGGTGTAACTCCGGTTGGTAGCAACACTAGCTGGCTTGTACGTTGCCGTGATGATTTCAAAAACATTCTCCATATCAATCTGAGGTTATATTTCCACTCCAAACTTGTTTCATCGGATTTGATGAATTCCATCAAGCAATGCGTGCATGATTTATGAGCTGGTCCCTTGGTCTGAACCGGATTATCCGAGAAGTCGAGGAATCTGATTGACAGAGATCAGCTACGCGTGCGTATTTTTACCGGTCAGCTATTCACTCAGTGGCCTGGCAAAGTGCCGATCTGTAGTCCTTGTTGGATTACCACACAACAGAGGATTGGAAGTTTACCCATGGTTTTTATCTTTACCATGAGCCCCACCTACTCGATTACGTATAGTGAACTATCCATGAGAAGGCAGCTGATCTATATTTCTCATTTGACGAGAAGGTCTGAAATCAAATACCACTGACCCTTGGTGGTTTTCTATCCTGACTCCCTAGGAAGGAAGTGGGAAATGCCTTAAGTGGACCTTTTAGTATTCTTCATAACAATTAGTTGGCGAGCATGTCGGCGAACTTCTTGTTGTACATTTGTAAATTGTGAAATAGAAGTGTTCGTGGAGTACAGGTTATAATCAACCGTCAAGACTACTTCGTCCCTCTGTGATGTCAAATAGATATTGCTAAACGCTACAGGGTGACAAACCTATTGATGTGAAGAAATGTTGTGATTAAGTAAGACCTGCGCACATAAGTGCCCCATACGGCACCCAACAATGGGACATTCAATCACAAAATAGCCTCTCAATCCATCCTCCAAACGATATGTTTTCCCTCCAAGTGCTAAGATAAAGCGTGGCTGGTGGAATTCCCCTTTCTCTGTTGGAGCTACCTATTTAACCCTATGGAGTAGCTGGCGTTTTTCAATGAAATTGAAACCCTGAATTGCATGCCTCGCAGTTGCGCAGCAGCCACTTTTCCTCCCAAGGCGGTGCTAAAATTTTCGCCCTGAAGGTCACACAATCGGCTCAGAGTAAAGCGCACATTACTTTCCGATCAAATGCATGATCGTTTGGTAGACAGAAGTAAATATGGTGAAAGTGACCATAATGGGACATGTAAGGGGATTGTTGCGAAGGTCGTTTGTACAGGTGTGACACACTGCGCAAATGTGTTGTTGGTCACACGGATTATTAAAATCTTCAATCTTCATCTTATCCGAATAGTTTGCCTTGATATTTCGTATCGAACAACCGAATGTACTAAAAGTGCTTCCCCATGTCACATGTCACCCGGGGCGGACCGCCTCCCCCCTATGCTACGCCTCTTATGTCTCGTCCATAAGAGAAAAGGTGATGGCTCAAAATGGACGAAGACCAGACCGCATCGGAGAAGGATTGATCATCAGGGGTAGCATTAAATCTTTCGTCAGGAGTAAACTTACATCACTTACAATATTTATACGGCAGTTATTTAAAATCGGAAATGGGTGGTTAGCTTCATTCACCTTGAGTCACATTCAAACGGATTGCTGCGAGGACGATGGGTTCCCATTGTCTCCCGGCATGGACGGTGGATTCTGCCGATGGACTCTGGCACGTCTCCAACTGCTTCAACAGCCACAGCACATGAGTTGCTAAACTTGTAGCAAGTAGGCCATTCTCATGATCTGGATGCGTTTTCAATAGCGTGAATTGCACGAGACGGAGGAGGTACAGCATCTACAAAGTAGATAGTTGAAACTATCGAACGAACAGTTGGACTGTGACAGAAAAAGATCAATTCAGTGGACTTTTCAGAATATGCACTTCGAGGGTGCTTGCTGGTGCAGTGTGCATCAGCACTGGCTGCTCTCCGTTCCACGCAGTACTGTGTTTGACAGGGTTGTAGGTCAAATCTAGCCAAACTTACAAGTGAACTTTATTAACTCACAACCGGTTAGTATACAACAGTAACACACACTCCATAAATGTTATGAAAAAGAAAGGTAGTTCAAGTGAATACAAATGGTGGTTTGCTAACCAAAGTATCCAGCAAACTAATTACGATGAAATTTGCAAGTTAACTCATGGACGACTACGTTCTGGTGTCGCATTAAATGCGTTTAGGGTGGAATAGCATAACTGGATCACTATTGACTTCTAGTCGGTGAAGTTGATAAAAAGAAGCTTATAGACCATGAAGAGTGCGAACTGTATCGGAGTGCACCTTGAAGCAAGACTTGCAGGAACAGTAGATGACGGCCACAATTAATGTCAACAAGGAACAGTTTTAGAAAGCCGCTAAGTCGAGGCACAGTCTTATCCCAGATACTATCCTTTTTATTAATGTACCCAAAGTGGGCGAGAATCGAGGCATATACAATCCTATTTTTCCTTGCTGAATGATTTCGTTTATCTATTGCGACGTCTAGTTACTCTTTGCCTATCAGCTAGATTATGGACGGTATGGATTCCAAATTCGCGCGGTGCACAGCATATGATGTAGTGGCACAGTGTTGGGCGATTCTCCGAATGCTGGGATGATTATTTCGACGAACCTCTTCGACAACAACGCCAGCGGAAATCTTATCCGTGGCAGTACGAGGCCGCCCAGTTCGTTTGGCGTTGCACACGCTCCCAGGGCAGCCTGGGCGGCCTCAAGGCCATATATTTTCGTGTTCGGCTTCTCTGAACAGATTTCGTTTTGAGGGGAGGATGAAAAGCTTTCAGTTCTGATGCCTTCGCGACTAGGGATGTGAACGTGGCCACAAATTTGTCCCAAGCTGTTTCTGGAATACACGGACAGGGTGCGATTATGTGCAATTGATGGCATCTTCTTGGGCTTAGCTTAGACACAGCTCCTCGATCGTTTTTGTTCAATGACGCATACAATGCGATTTCATCGGCAGTCCTTCTCCACAAACACGTGCAGCGAGTAGTCCCTTAATTGGCATACACGGCAGCATGTAACGATCCTTTCGATTGATATACACCTACGTTTTCCTGAGAGACTGAGAGACTGAGCGACACTGTCAGCCTTTCATGTTACACCGTCACGGTCACTGTTAAACAAATTAGACAGCGTGCACCCCACTTGGTTCCTGCAATTGCTATCAAGACTGTGACGGGAGTAGTCTGTCAACGACAGCTTTTCCGGACTCATTTATGCAGAAGTAGCATCTCATATTTTCACCGTCTAATTGTTACGAATTCTTATTTTGCTAAGGTAGTTTATGTGAAGGTAACATTCTGTCTACAACAGCGTTGTCACTAACCCTTTTATCATTTGCTGGGATAACATTAAGCAACTGTCGAAGCGCCACCAACATTTGAACACGGTAGCCAATGCATTATGCACTGCTGTCGAGATGTTGCAAACCACCAGCGAAAAACGTCGGCAGCGACCCAATCTGAGCTGAGCGGTGTCAAAATCGCTGGGGGTAATTAACATATTTCAAGGACACATGCACCGCTATGCGTCCTCACGTCGTATTCACACCCCCAGACATGCGTGGGTGAGTAAATACAGTAGACTTACATGCTATTGGTGGGTCGGTAAATTAGTGCGCTCCAATCTCACCCTGATCTGTGCGGCTGATCTACGAGCGACTGAGCAGAATCGAAAGACTCTTATAAAACCCTCGGTAGGTACCCTAGGATTGCGGTTATTAGACCAAACCGAACTGTATTAGAATCCCGAATGCCTTATACTGTGATACCCTCATCCCGCTCAATGATCCCTTGGCTGTGATTCCCTCTACCATCTGTCCAATTTGTTTCCTTGTCCCAAACCTCTTTGTTTCTAACTGAACACTTATTATGATTCTGATGTTAGATTAATTACGTTTTTATTTTACACTTTGAGAACGTGACCTGCATTCATAATCGCACGCATTTGACATAATTTTCCAATCTGAGAAGTAAGTTCATTGTCGCTCCACTATAACGCATCAATATCTGTCCATTGTGCTCTCATTTCCTTGCACTGTATGCGTGACCTGACAACATTGCACTGTTGTTATGAGTGGAGGACACACATTGAAACCATTTGCTTCGTGAGGCCTACTGTTTTGTTCCCCTTTGGTAGAATTGAAACACCATGTCATCACTGTGTGTAATGTACAGAGATTCCAACACGTACGGCTCATGGTAGCCTCCCTTTTTCCTATTCGTCCAGTGTAAATGTGTTTTACGCCACAGTGCAATGAGACGTGTTCATTCCCATGTGTGTCCCGAAGCCATATTTGCTGGCCAATCTTGTTGAAATGTCGTACACCAGTATGTGTCGTTAGCACCCCAGGATGCCACCTCCATCATTCTCGCGACTGGCGTAGTGCATCATCTAACAGCAACATCGTCAATCTTCTAACTGCTTCACCTTTTTATATGTGTTAATGGTAAGGGCAACCGAGCAATTACATACAAACCAACCGGTTTCCTTCTATAAGCGGTGTACTAGTCACTTGAATCGTCCCTCAAATTTGTGCTTACTTACAAGATATTCTCAACAGGTCCTACTTAGCAACCAAAATTGATAAGATGCCGAGAGTGACTGCTTCTGTGTAATGTGCCTCCGCTGTGGTGGGCTGTAGGCAAAACTTCTAAATAACTAAAAAAATATTCTATTCTCAGCAATGCGAGACATGACTACAAAACCATGACTGTTCCGAGTCCAAGGATCATTGCTCACTAGATTTGCTTGGGCTGAAACGCAGCTGGTTGGGTCGTAAATACCTGTTATGTACATAGTCATTTTTAGCATTGCGTAAATTATATATCGATATAATCCCGGTATGCATGTTTCTGGCAACTAGCTTCTAAGTGTTTGGCAACTGATCTCCACCACGATATGTTGTAAAAGCGTAGGGGAGTTCACCGCTTTTCTTTAATCTCTCCCCTGGGCAAGCTTGTAACTGTTACAATTCTCAAATTTTGCCATTTTTAAGGCAGACGCTTTGTAAAACAAACAGTCGACAGATATACGAACACAAGTAGAAAAAGTATATAGATTAACTTCCAAATGAAGCTTCTAGAACTCACTTCAGTTGCTTTTTCAATCCACCGATCATCGAGCTGTTGACTACTGGTATTCTCCGGCATCAAAGGTTCCATTCGATTCATACAATAATCCCAAATGGCCGCAACAGTATCCAGGTATATTCCAATGGCGGAAGGTGCCTTTTAGTGTTTCATCATCAAAACTGCCCAGCTAACTTACTATTGCATTCTCTTGGTCTCGCAGAAGATCTAACAGGCACATCGTCAATTTTAACATTTTTCTTGAAGTCACTCTCTTAACTGAAAAGAATGTTTTGTGTAAAAAGTTGTCACTGGAACTTACGGGTAGTTTGCAAATGGTCCATCCTTTCAGCTGTTTCCTCCACATCCTCCGATCGATCAACCTGTTGGATATATTGGACAGTGTGCTTATAGTGAATGCACCCATTAATTCACTACAGTCATTAACCCACGAATTTCTCCGCTTTATTTAATGGTAATGTAAGTCATTGTAAAACGTTTGTTAATTCGCCAATGACAAATGTTTAATATCTAATACGGACGCTTCATGCAGTGTGGAAGCAGATGTTTGGCTAACTAAACCCTAATCAATTGGTACTAAATGTCTCTCTCCACATACTGCATTTCTAATTCCATTTCCAAGTACTTCCTAATCTTCGTATGCTGCTGACATCTGTAATGCAGGTCTAGCCGTGTTACCTACTAAATAACAGGCCAATTAAATTACTGGAGTATAGTAAGAGTTGTCGATCCTCAAGCACGCTGCTGACCGTGTTCCATCATTCTTTATCATCGTGATTACTGATTATCACTTCCGTCTTTCGTTCGCTTGGCGATCGCCAACCTGTGCTGAACACACACGTTCAAAATGCCCGAAATGAATTTTGGACACTTGTTCTTTTGTTTCTACTTCTTTAGACTCACGCGACAAAACACATAGACAAACTACTATGTCAGATCATCTGGCGACTGACCCGAGAGCTCCGTCGCATTAAAAATGCATAATGGACGGAGAAGGCGAAGCAGATGGAATGCTACGCCGAACGCCGTCAACACAAGGAATTCTTTGACTCCTTGAAGGCGGTGTATGGACCGAGATTGGAGTCGCTGAGGACACTGATCGATGGTAGTTCAGGCTCTACCTGCACACAGACTGCAGACATAATGCAGATCTGGCGGAAACACTTTGACCGTCTCTTGAACAACCGTTCAGAGATCGACTGGCCTACATTGAACGGCCTCAAGCAGCACGATGTGAAGGCAGATCTGGCGGATACGCCGACACTGGTGGAGACGCAGAGAGCACTTGCTCAGCTGCGAAACGGCAAGTGTGCCGGAGCCGACGGGATCCCGCCTGAAGTATTGAAACACGGTGGACCCGCGTTGTTGACTGCGCTGCACCACTTGGTGCAACGCGTGTGGATTGAGGAGGAGGTGTCTCCTGAGCTGAAGGATGCCCTTGTGCTACCACTGTACAAGGGCAAAGGGAGCAAGCAATGTTGCACGAATTATCGTGGCATCAACTTGCTGAGTTGTGTGGGCAAGGTGATTGCCCGAATCCTGCTCAAGCGCCTCGTCAGTCAGGTTGTGGAAACTAAAGTGGCGGAGGAGCAGTGTGGATTCCGTTCGGGTCGCAGTACTATAGATATGGTGTTTGCGGCTCGTCAGTTGCAAGAGAAGTGCAGAGAAAGACACCAGCCATTGTACTCGCTTTTTGTTGATTTCACCAAAGCATTTGATAAGGTGAACCGCGAGGCATTGTGGGTGGTGTTGGGTAAGTTTGGTTGCCGAAGAAAATTTGTAAGTTTCATTTAATGTCTGCACAGTGGTATGCGGGTGAGGGTGCAGCTGAGTGGAGAGACCTCGGATGACTTTGCAGTTGTCACTGGTGTGAAGCAAGGCTGTGTCTTAGCTCCTGCCCTGTTTAATATATATCTTCATGCAATGTTGTCTTGTGCTTTTGATGCCTCTTGTGCTTACGGTGTTCGTGTGGAGCACCGTATTGATGGTGGGTTGCTGAACATCCGTCGTTTCGGTGCGAGAACTCTAGTCTGTGAGACAACTATCCGTATGTTGCTGTTTGCTGACGACTGTGCGTCGTTTTCACACAACGCGGATGAGTTGCAGTACATGACTAGTGCTCTGGCTTCGACAGCGGCAAAATTTGGGCTCACCATCACCACAAGCAAAACTGTCTGTCTCTTTCAGCCTTCACCGGAGGTGCAATCTTCAATATTGCCGCAAATCAGCATTGGTGCTGAAGTATTGGAAACCACCTCCCGCTTTTGCTACCTTGGGAGTGTGATATCGACTGATCAGCAGTTGCACGTTGAGTTGCGTATTCGCGTGTCGAAGGCAGCAACGGCAGTCGGGAAGCTTGAGTACCGAGTGTGGAACAACCATCAGCTTAGCACTGGCACAAAGCTGATGGTGTACAAATCCATGGTACTGTCCGTTCTTCTATACGGCAGTGAAACGTGGACGATGTACCGTCGGGATGTGCGATATCTCGAGTGGTTCCATCAGCAGTGTCTGCGACGAATTTTGCGGATCGGCTAGGGCGCCAGAGTTGCAGACGCGGAAGTGTTGCACCGAAGTGGGATTTATGCAGTGGACTGCATACTTTTATTGAGACACCTGAGGTTGCTAGGTCATGTGAGCCGTACGGATTCGACGTGGATACCGAAACAACTTTTATACGGTCAGCTGAGTATTGGGAAGCGGCATGCTGGGAAACCAAAGTTACGTTACCAGGACATGATCAAAGTGAGCCTCTCACGTTCTAATCTTGATTGCAGATGATGGGAAACGAAGGCGGTTGATCGGCGTGCATGGCGCGATCTAATCACGAAGGCAGTTGCGGAAGTGCGGGAGAAAGCCCTCATGCATGCAGAGAAGAAGCGACAAGTGCGGAAGCAGCAGGCACCAATGAATTGTACTCCATCGACATCGAGCGCATGGTGCTGTATAACATGCGGTCGCGAGTGCCTTAGTCAGGCAGGCCTAGTGAGCCATGAGAGATGTCACTCGGGACCACTGCCGAAGCGACGACGGGTCCTGCAGTGAACGTAGGCAGCACGGGCGCAGCGTTTGTAGGTACGCTGCTTTCGATGTTCGATTTACTAACCGCGTGCTTGCATGCTAAGTCTTTATTTCAGGTGGTGGGTTTTCGGTTCTCTCCTAATGCCTTTCTTTCTCATATAAATGTCTAGTGGGCCATGAGCTAGGCCACTCGGGATCACTACAGAAGCGACGAGGGGTCCTGCAGAGAAGTACGCCGAGCAGGCGCAGCGTTTGTAGGCACGCTGAATTCGAATTACTAACCGCGTGTCACCGTTTCCTTATGCAATAATCTAATTTTTCTCTTTTTCTTTCTCTCTCTCTCTCTCTCTCTCAAGTGTTTGGCTGTTATTTGATATCCCCGGTGTGGATGCGCTTGATGTGCATGTTGACAAGGTGCCTACCTGTCTATTACCCACTACCTCGTCCATACTGGCTCCAGGAGACAGTTGGTCGTTGCTGGAGGGGACGGGGTGCACGGTCCTTGTGGCCGTGTTAGGATCAAAGAGTGGTTCCATGCAGTCAGTGTGGAGCGGACTACGGTCCAGCCACCGCCTTGTGTGCGCTTGATTCCCCAAATACACTGTGCTTGTGTTTGCCTGTGAAGGAGTGTGGGCCGGCTCCGTTGATGAAACGTGGCCCCCATCCGCATGTCTCCCGGTCTTATTCCTTCGGGTTTACACTGGATATGGGGTGTGTGGTTGGAGCTGTGGGTGGTGCAGCGCAAGCCATCCATGGTCCCTCTGTAGGCGCAGGCGTCCTGTGGCTTGCCACAGTGACAGGCAAATCCGAAACCGGATGCCGCCAACCATATGTATGTGTGCCCCATGCTGAGGCTGATGTTGCATCCTTGATGCTTTTTCACCGCAGTTGGGCTAAACCAACTCACACTTAAACTAGGTCTCTTTAAGCTGCATAAATTTCATTCCAGTTTATTTGGTTTGTTTTGCCTATCTGGATAGTCTTCTATTAGCTGGCCACGTTGCTTACGCTAATTGCGCTTATCTTCGGTAATTTTGTTGCATTTATAGCATTTCTGAGTAACTTGTGGACATTCTTTTTCCTTATCGCGGATTCATTGCTAACCAAATTACTTCATATGCTAATTTAGCGAAGAGTTATGCCACCGTATATGTATACATTATTGGATTTATTTCATTTCATTTTGTCGTTTCAAGTGATTGGCTGTTGCTTGATATCCCCGATGTGGCTGCACTTGATGTGCATGTTGACAAGGTGCCTACCTGTCTATTACCCACTACGTCGTCCATACTGGCTCCAGGAGACAGTTGGTCTTTGCTGGAGGGGACGGGGTGCACGGTCGTTGTGGCCGTGCTAGGCTCGAAGAGTGGTTCCGTGCACTCAGTGTGGAGCGGACTACGGTCCAGCCGCCGCCTTAATTGTCTTCCCTCATCCGACAGTGCGGTCGCAAAAAAACTGTCCTCCTGCGTTATTCGCCTCCAAATCTTTGGATTTATTCTCACAGAGACCTACGTGCCATCATTCGATTTGGCTCCGCGAGCTCCTCCTACCACTGTTCATTTATTGGATCTATCATTCACGGATCACCAACAAACTGTGCTCTTGGAACTTCGAAGTCAACCGTATTTGAAGCTTATCGGATGTTTTATTTTTCCTCTCGTCGCATAAGAACTCTTGTGGTCTTATTTTAAAGATCTTTTTGAGAGTCACCCGATCAGCTTAATACCATTCCTTCAAGTCACTCTACAAAGTGATAGTCGTCAATTTGCTCTGCATTTGGAACTGCCACTGTCGTCACTAGACAGCATTTTCCAAGTCACCTTGCTTTGCCTCAGTCGCTTTGTCTCGCATCGCTGTCTACCCGTCTGGATCGATAGCACGCACATCGCCTGGACCCGCTGACCTCAAACCAGCGCCGATCGCCACGCAGCGGTGCGTCAGTATCTCCATCCACTTCCTACCCCTACTGAGAACATGTCTCGTATGAAAAGCAAATGCGAATCATGTGCTAAAGTGGTGAAAAATGGTCTGGTGTGTACCATGTGCTTGAAAACCTATCACACTACCTGCCTTGGGAAAAAGTCGACGGAAGCAAACACCGCAGAATCGCCTTGGTTCTGCCAAGTATGCAAGTCTATTCCATTTGTTAGCTGTCTATCTGTGCTACTGCAGAGGTGTGAAAGACTAACCGAAGCGGTCGAGCAACTGGTGAGCGCTAGAGTTACACCCATGGGAGGAAACGGACCTGCACTTGTGAGTGAAAATAACACCCCGAACTCACTAGTCAGGCCGAAGAAGCGAGCCAGGCGTCCCAACCCAACCCCAACGACTCAGCCTCCAG